AGCTTAAACTGGATGCTAAGGAACAGTGAGCATCTAGTGAGTCTGTTTTTACAATTCATTCTGGTAAACCAACACCGACTGAAAGCCTGAAAGCCACTTCAAGGAACAGAAATTTCACTCATATAATCAGCATTTGGCTGTAAACAGGTAACTTGTTTCAGTTCTCTATTTCTGTATAACAAATCATCATACAGCCTCATGGCCTGAAGAAATGATTTATATTTCATGAGTCTGTGAGTAGATGGGGATTAGTCTGGCAGGAGGCGGGGAGAGGGGCATCCTCTGTACAATGCAGCTGAGGAGGAAACAGGGTACTTGGCTGGAAGCACAGACCACCACCATGATCTCTCGCCCTCAAGGCCTCTTGCCACATGGCCTCTCCTCTTTATGGTCCTGTGCAGCAAGGTGGTTGGCTTCCAAGGGGCATGGAAGGGGAGCTGCCGGTTTTCTTAAAACTCGGGCTTACACACAGCTTCTCTCCCACTGCACTGTATTAGATAAAGGCAGCCAAAATTCAAGGGAGACTCCATTTGTTGATGGGAAGAAAGCGTGCATGCCAGGAACAGAAGACTCCTGTGACAGGAAACTATCCATCATACAATCTGAAGTGACCATTTCTGGTACTAAGTAATTAAGGAAAACTGCATTCAAAAGATGAATTGGGGCTCGGGGAGAGAGTGCTTGTCTACCACATAGAGGACCTTGAGTTCAGTCTCAGCACTGCACAAAGACAGCAGTGGTAACTGTAAAGTACATGTCTTTATTTGAAGTAAACTACCTGTATCAATAATTTGCATGAGTGGTGGAAGAGATGGGAGGTGTCAGGTAACACCACATTGGAATTTAGTGTTGAAATGAGATGAAGGAAGATCCTAGACCAAGAAAATGGTTTAAGCTGTCATGAGAAGTGAGCAACCAGTCTACCTAGAGTTAAGCTGATTAACTTGAGTGTGGCAGGCTAATTAAAATTCACTACTTATGTAATCACACACCCTGGAAGAAGAGGTTGAAGTGTCGTGAAGTAGGAGGCAGGATCCTGCCACCACATCATACACAACAGAAGCAGCAAAGCATTCACAACATATCCATAAAAACCACAGCATCAAAGCCAGAAGAGTAAAATTTCTTGCTAATTCAAGGTGTTAGGTCAAGTCTAAGGTCAAAATGGCAGCCTGTCCTCACACTGCGATCTGAGTAAGACAGATGCTTGAGTCTGAATTTTATTCATCACTTGGGGAAAGGCACCTGACTGAACAGCACCTGGACTTGCCGGAATCCCCTAATAATGCCACAAAGGAAAGGGCAAAGCCCGTTCCTTCTCACCCCCTCTACTGTTGCCTCTCTTCAATCCTTCCTCAGCCCTCTTGGATTTTCTGTGGGATCCTGACAGTTCTCCATGTCACTGTATTTGCTCTTGCCCATCTTCCACACAACAGCCAATTATCATTCTTAACATTTTACTCCAGAAAGGAAAAAACAGGCCCGCAGCAAGTCCAGCAGGGAGACCTGTTATGTCATGACATAGTTTTCCTCCTTACCGAGTGGGAACAATTGAAGAATTTTTCAAAGTAATCTTATGCACGTCTTAAAAAGATAATTAAGCAGCAAGGTAGAGGCCCAAATAAGTAGGCCTGTAATAAGAGATGGCTAAGAGTATGGTAACACTCCTGACAGAGGGAGCAGGTCTGAACCAAGCCAGCTGCAGAGAAAGAGGACACCCAGTAAGAAGATAAATAGTATAAATGAAATCCTGCAAATGAGGCCAGTGACTCTCCAGTAAACAAGTAGATGAGGATGACCCAAGTTTTCAACTTGAGCAGACAGAGTTCTTATTCAGTGGGACAGACATACCAGAAGAACAGGTTTAGGAGTAATCAGAAACTTGCAAGGAGGATAGTCAGTGTGAACTAACAAGCCGGGAGCTCAGGAGTGAGGTCTAGACTAAACTGAAACCCAGAAGTAGAACAGATGTGTAATGGACACCCAGACAGCATCTAAGAAGAAAAGCCACGCAGCCCTGGAAGACCTGAGGAGGATCACAAGATTTGGAAATCATAAACAATGTTCACATCTCAACAAACCAAAGTCTGAAAGAACATACCGTACAGTTTGGTAAAGTTACTCAGGTCATGCTGAAGCATATTCTCCACTGGAAAGGTGGGAAACCACACCCCTATCAGAAGGGGAGATGGATTCCAAAAAAACAATACTCGGTAAATCTGATTTTCTAACCACCTACAGAAAACAAGTCTACAAAGTCAAACTAAAATTGGAAACCTATGCAAAAAAAATTATTTAAGGTGAAAAAGAGAGTCAATCAGCAAGCTAGGGGCACTCTATGACAAACATGCCATGCTTATTTGCCCAGCAGCATTCCAGTTAGAATCAGGTTAGTCTCCAGAAACTGTACTCTGGGCCGACCCGGGCATTCCAGCTTACTTGATACCTGTTGCCTTTCACTGTAAACTAATGGGCGTTCAGGTACTGTGCCAGTCTCCAAGAACTTAATATGAACCCACCCCAGAGAGGTCAATTTTCAAGTGAGTCATTTTTGGTATTTCCAAGACAAAGGGCCAAGCTGTGATGAGGCGCTCCAGTGACCTCAAGGGTTGGCGGCAGTTAGGAGGGTGACAAAGACGCAGTTCACCAAGTGTTTCCACCAATATATTAAAAACTGAAATACAGAGGGGTGTGGTGGTATAGGCCTTTAACCCCTGTACTCAGGAAGGTGGAGGCAGGCAGATCTGAGTTCCAGGCCCGGAAAAAAAAAATGAATACACATAAGGAGAATTCATCACTATTTTTATTTTGAATGATAACCTATCCTCACTTCTAAAAGACACATTTCAGAAAACACCCAATGAATGCTGACTTACTAATAAAAAGTCATCAATGTCTGGACATTAACACAGAATACACAATAAATTATATTTACATGCACTGACCAGACTATTACACATACGTGGTAAAAAAATAACAGCATTTTATGTACACTTTTAAAGATTTACATTTTCACATACAGTTACAAAGTTAAAAATTCTCTGTACAAAAGCTCATGTGTACAGAGTGTATACATCCTCATCTTTAGCTGTATCACCACAGACTTGCTTAAAACCCTAATATTACAAACACTTGCATTCTTTTTACTTCATATTCAAATCTTGGCACCCATATACATTATTTTTGAAATGTGAATTACAAAAGAAGCAAAAAGTAATCATGCAGACATTTTTTAATGTAAGAAAATAGGACAAGATGCGCTAAATCAGCATTATCAATTCCATAGTTACCTAGCTCTGTTCCACTTCCTGTAAAGCTTTCATACAGGTACATGCAAAACTAGCAAATTATGGATCTTTTAGCTAATAAAACAATACCATAGTCTGACAACACATTAAGTATCAAGAACAAAACTAACATCCCTACTCTGACAATTTCTGTTTTAGCAAAATCCTCAATTAAGACATCTATAACTAAAATTCATAGAAATGTCAATACCTACATTTATAGACTCTATCAGACAGTACACTGATCACTAAGAAAACAGAACAATAAAATAGGTGTTTGACATTGAAGAGTGCTGTATAGTCTGTTCTGAGAACGGGGAGAAGGAAATCTGTGATAAACCATCAAGTTTATCCAGTGGCCCTACTAAGGAAGCCCTTGCACACTCCCAGTCTGTTAAATAGATACCTGAAAGCTTTATGAAAGTTTAAGTTACACTATTTATCTTTAAAAATCATCTTCAAAAGTAACAAAGGTTTCAGCACCTTCCCTCCTCCCCATAAAGACCAACAAGAAAAATAAAGTGCCAATGTTCAAAGTACTGGTCCTTGTTTAAGAGGCACTAACCCATTTGATGGCTTAGGATTAAATATGAAAATAGGCCAGATCTGATCTGAATAATAAACAGAAGGTAGGTATTCTGGTCTGTAATTCCTGTCTAGATGGGGGCTGGACCAGAAAACTACCCACTCCCCCATTTATTGCTTTGAAACAGGTGTATATACTTGAATCCTGACAATCTGAGTTCTAAGATGGAAAGCACAGTGTCTGTGCCACTTTGAAGTCAAAGAAGAAGGTGCCCTCTTGATCACTGGGAGGGGAACTGCTGAGACTCTCCTCTCCACAGCTCATGTCTTCACAAGAGTCCTCACTGAAAGGAAAGAGACAAAGAGGGCCATTCCTTAAAATGCAGATGCTTATAGATATAAAACTGAGTCTGCTGCAGTCGACATGAATGTTGTATTCAAAAGCTCTTTACTTACAAAGCTGAATTTAACTTAAAAGGACAGCTGGGGCTATAGGGAGACCCTGTCTCAAAAAGACCAAAAAAAAAAAGAATAGTTTTCATAGGGCTGAAGAGGTGGCTTAGCCATTAAGAGCACCAAGTGCTCTTGCAGAGAACCCAAGTTCAATTCCCACACCCACGTGACAGGTAACAACTGTGGGTAACTCCAGTTCCCAGGGATCTAACACCCTCTTCTGAACTCCTTGGGTACTTCACAACAGCGTGTACTTACATA